CTTGAGCCACATCCCCAGCCAAAACAAAAACAAAAAACAAAAAAAAAAAAATTTGGTTTAAGCACCAAACACTGTGACCAGGATTTCCTCACAAAAAGAGAAGCAGAGGGGCTGGAGTTGTAGCTAATAAACAACAATCAGTGGTAGAGCACTTGCCTGGCATGTGTGAGGCCCTGGGTTCAATCCTCAGCACTGCATATAAATAAAAATAAAAGATCCATTTACATGATTCTTCGGTTCTTAAGTGTGATGATTGGGTGTTCATGCTCTTGTGTGAGATGTGCTTCCCTCTAAACCTTGTTATGACATTGGCACATTACCCATTCTGACATGAAGGGGAAAAAAAAAAGATCCATATACAACTAAAAAAGAGAAAGAGAAAGAGATAGGGGAGCAGAGCCTCAGTGACATTAAAGAAAAATCCATTTATTTTCAATGTGATCTTTCCTACCTGAGGGGAGTCAAATGGGATTCTCTTACATTCTAGGAATATAGGGTCTCTCCAAGTAAATACAGTATGTGCTTTAAACTGTCTTGGGCTACTCTGTATTTCCTATGTGCTGGTCTCTTCTCTTGACTTCTTCCTTGTTCTACCTTACAAAAGAAAACACAGGGCTTAACTTAGGAAATCTCCCTCATTCATTACAGCAGCCTTGACTCCTGGCAGTATCCACACATGCCTGAGGTAAAGCAGAATTTGAGTTCTACTATAGTTGGTAATCTAAGCTTCAAAGTAGAGATGACTGTGAGAGAATTTGCCCAGAATTGACCAAACTGGCAAAGGAATGTAAAAATTTAAATTTAGTTCATATTGAATACCAGTTTAAAACTGGCTCATCACACTTTTCTTTCTTCTTCTTTTCTCTTTATTTTTTCAGTGCTGGGGATAGAACTTAGGACCTTACATATGATACCAAAGCACTCTACTAAGACATGTTAGAGTCCCTTCACTAAACTTTTTACAGCCACTTCATCTCCATAAAATGAGGAAAAACAGGTTTTATTTCTGGGTGGTTTTTTTGTTTGCCTGTTTGGTTGGGTGGTTTTTGGTTTTGGTAATGGGATTGAACTCAGGGGTGCACTACTATCACTGAGCTATATCCCAGCACTCTTTATTTTAGAGACAGTCTTGCTAAATTGCTGAAGCTGGCCTCAAACTTGTGATCCTCCTGCCTCAGTCTCTCCAATTGCTGGGATTACAGGTATGTACCACCATGACCAGCTTTTATTTCTTTTAAATAAGATATCCTGTTAGGGATGGAGGTTTAGAGATTAGAAGAAATGGGGAGTGGACTGGGGTTATAGCTTAATGGCAGAGCACTTGCCTAGTATGTGTGGGGCACTGGGTTCAATTCTTAGCACCACATACAAATAAACAAATAAAATAAAGGCATTCTGCCCATCTACAACTACAAAAAAGATTTTTAAAAGAAAAAAAAAGAAAGAAAATGGGGAGTAACTGCTAAAATGGGCAGGGCTTCAAGGTCAGAGTGATTATCACTCTATCTAAAATTAACTGTAGTGATGACTAAACCACTCTAAATATATTAAAAATAATTGAACTATGCTTTAAATAGGTGAATTGTATGGTAGGTGAATTGTATGGTAGGTGAATTGTATGGTATGTGAATTAAATCTCAATACACTGTTTGTTTTGCCTATACATAATATAGGGGGACATACATATAAGTGACAAAGAAAATGGGGCAAAATGTGAACAGTGAATGTGGCTGAAAGATGAGACAAAGCATGGTGGCATATGCCTATAATCCCAGTACCTCAGGCTGAGGCAGGAAGATCTGAGTCTATATTTAACACAGCAATTCCCCATGCTAACTGCTGTAAATGGAGAGGAAAGAATCTTAATCCTTCCCAAAACCAAAGGAACACTAAGCATCTTTGATTTACTTGTTCTGGATATAGAAACTGGGTGAAGTATGTAACTTACTTTGCTTGGAGAAAACAGACTCCCCAGTACCTCCCTAGAGAAACTAGGCTCAATTCACAACTTCCTGTAGTTTCACTGATAATGACATCATCACTTTGGGAGGTATAAGAAAGGCAGAGGAGAGAAAATGCACCCTGGAGAGTCTCAACTGGATGAGCTATTTGGATTGTTTGTTTTATTCAAAGATTCCCTCTGGGTAGTCCAGATTACTCTTATTTACTCATAAGAAATGAATAAAGGGGGTAAAAATAATCCTTCAATCAGTATCTATTCTAATAAAAGCCACCTACTTATAGATGATCTTCGCATTCCATTTGTACAACCACATTTTGGGGGAGAGGGGTACTGGGAATTGAACTCAGGGGCACTCAACCACTGAGCCTCATCCCCAGCCTAATTTTGTATGTTATTTAGAGACAGAGTCTGAGTTGTTCAGCACCTTGCCATTACTAAGACTGGCTTTGAACTCCCAATCCTCCTGCCTCAGCCTCATATGAGCTACTGGGATTTATAAACATGTGCCTCCACACCTGGCTGTGCAATTATATTTTAAGAAAATGCCCTGTCCTTCCCCCCACCCATTCCCACCTGCGCCACAATGGGTACTGAACCCATAGGTGCTCTACCACTGAGCTTCGTGCCCAGCACTCTTTATTTTTTTGACTCAGGGTCTTGCCTCCAACTGGCAATCCTGCCTCAGCTTCCCAAATTACTGGGATTATAAGCATTATAAGCACCACCACGACTCATGAAAATAACCTTCTTTACACATTTATACAACTCACCCCTCTATCTTTATTCTCCCAATAAGTTTACACAAAGATATAATTTTAGCTTGTTGAAAAGCCAGGAAATTAACAAATATTCATTAAAAGAGAACATATCTGTAATCCTTGCAGCTCTGGAGGCTTGGGCAGGAGGATTGTAAATTCAAAGCCAGCATCAACAATTTAGTATGACCCTGTCTCAAATAAAAAGGGCTGGGAATGTAGCTCAGTAATAAACTGCCCCTGGTTAAATCTTAGTACCCCCGACACACACACATACACACACCAAAAAAAGGGAGAAGAGAGAGAGAATAATATTTACATTCACTTTTCCCTCACAGAAATAGTAGCACAGCAGAAATATCAGACCCCAAAACTCATGGCCTCACTAACAGTAACTTCCTAGCTTCATTCCTGTTTTACCATTTACAAACCACTATCTTCATTTTCTAAAACCAGTGTCTATACAATTTATCAGATGCTCAAAGCACAACATAATAACATTGGTTTATTTCATCTTTAAATTTCTTTTATTGAGAATAACTGTTATTTTTAGTACTTTTTTTAATATTTATTTTTTAGTTGTAGTTGGATACAATAGCATTAATTAATTAATTTTTATGTGGTGCTGAGGACTGAACCTGTGCTAGGCGAGCATTCTGCCGCTGAGCCACAATCCTAGCCCCTGTGCTACTGTTTTCTAAAGACATCCAGTCAGAGGCAGATTCACTGGTACATGCCTGCAACTCCAGTTAGCTGAGGTAAGAGGATCCTGAATTCAAGCTGTAGGTAACCTAGGGAGACTCTTTATCAAAATTTAAAATTTAAAAAAAAAAGCTAGGGATGTAGTAGTAGTAGAGCATCACTTTTTTGGGGGGACGGGAGGAAGACCTCCATCCAGGCCAATGAGATGCAATTTAGTATCATGAGAAGAGCACCAGACTAAGAGTTAAAAAATGACCTAGTACGATGTAGGCCTTTCTGTGCTTCCTGGGCCTCATTTCCTGATTCGCTTCCAGCACGAATAACTTGAACTGAATTCCAACAACTATATCATCCCAAAGTCACAAAATATAATACAAAGGAACCAAATAATCAATTGATCTGTTATAAGAATTTGAAGACCTAAAAAAGTAAACTTGAGGGCTGGGGTTGCGACTCAGCGGTAGATCACTCGCCTAGCACGTGCCGGGCTCTAGGTTCAATCCTCAGCACCACACAAAAATAAAATAAAGGTATTGTGTCAAACTACAACTAAAACAAAAACATTTTTTAAAAAAAAGAACTAGAATAAACAAAGCTAACCAGTTGGATACAGTGCATATACCTTTATTTCCAGCCACTCTGGAGGCTGAGGCAAGAGATCACAAGTCCAAGGCCAGCTTCAGCAACTTAACAAGACTTGTTTCAAAATTTAAAAATAAATAAAAGGGTTGGGGATCTAGCTCAGTGGTAGAGCACCTCTGGGTTCAATCCCTGATAGCAATAAATAAATAATTTCATGATTTTTTTCTAGTTTCATGATTTTTTTCTCCACCTGCTATTAATCTGGGGAAACAGCTTGTTATTCACCTTGATAAATGACAAATTTATCATATTTTTAAAAGACAAATTCACTTTTGTCATTTGTGATGTGAACTTAATTTTTTTTTCATAAAAAACACTGGAATGGAGCTGGGGATGTGGCTCAAGCGGTAGCATGCTCGCCTGGCATGAGCGCAGTGCTGGGTTCGATCCTCAGCACCACATACAAATAAAGACGTTGTGTCCACCAAAAACTAAAAAAAATAAATAAATAAATATTAAAAAATTTCTCTCTAAACAAACAAACAAAAAAAAAAACCACTGGAATGATTCTGGTGGCAAGAAAAAGAAAGAAAGAAAAGAAAAGAAACTGTCCTGTTATCTCTGAAGCAAAGTAAAAAATTAGTCAACAATGTGAACACTTTCAAGAGAGAAACATGATGGTGGCCTGTGCCTAAAATCCCAGCAAGTTCAAAGCCAGCCTCAACAACTTAAGCAAGGTTCTAAGCAAATTAAGGAGTCCCTGTCTCAAAATAAAAAACAAAAAGTGGGGATGGGGGGGAAATATAGTTCAGTTGGTAGAGCCTCAGATGCACAATGCCCTGGGTTCAATCCCCAGCACTGCCTAAAAAAAAAAAAAAAAAAAAAAAAAGCTCAGTGTCCCTGATTCAGTCCCAGGTACCAAAAACAAAAACAAAAACCAAGAGAAACTCATGGCAAACTGTGACATCATATGCAAGGGCCTGCGTTCAATTCCTGGTACCAAAAAAGAATGAGGGAAAAAAAAGAAAGAAAAGTGGAAAGGACTTTCCCTCACCAAATCAGGATGATATAATTTTAAAGTAGTAACATAACAACCCCCCACCCACTAACTGAACACTTCAGACAAAAACTTTTCAACACTGTTACAATTCAAAGACTTGGATGACAATAGGGTGGAATTCACGGGGATTTTATAGTTCTGACACACTTCCCACAGTGAGTTCCAAATCTGATCAGGGCCCCACGGCCACTCCCCTCCACCACTTCCCCCTTTGAAAGACGACTTGAGAAACAACACAGCCGCCCCAAGTAGGATGACACCCTTTTATT